GCTACCGATCGAGGTTTCCCTTTTCTTTTCTGCCACGGCCGCGGAATTCTCCTCTCTCCCTCGCCCGATACGATACCCACAATGGCGGTTACGTCATACACCGTTAGCGACCATGCACAACAATACCATAATAAACCCGGGATTGTCCCTCTCACGCATCAACGAATCGCGTTCATTTTTTTTTTCTTCTTCTCTATCTCTCTCGCTCGATCCCTGTTACCGGACACGCACTGATTCCGTTTTTTCTCTCCGCTGCAGCAGATCCCGTCGCGACGATTTCCATCCGCGAGCACCACACGACGACAAAATCCCACCGCGGCGAAAGAAACGCGCGGAAAGTTCTTCTTCCGGAGAACGAGCACGCGCCGCCATATCGGGAGAAAGCATTTTATTTGCCACACAATCGTTCCGTCGATATTAACGAAGGGGACGAATGCTCTTTGTAGCAGTGGAGCGTCTATACATTCTACTTAACTAATAATCCTGCAACATCAATTGAAAGAAAAGTCAAGGGACCTGCCCCCTCCCCCAGAAAAAAATTCTGATTACGCTTAGTTTCTTCTGGCAAGTTATCGAATTGAAATAGATTAGACTGGCACTCGTTAAAGTCGATCAGACTAGCAGTATAAGTACCAACGATAGATGTAAGTAGTTTCCGGCCTCTTGAGAGTAAAGGTATTTAAAACTAAATGTGAAAAAGTGGTAACACACCAGGGGTACATCGAACATCTGGCTAATTAAACCAAAGTCACGCGAAACCATAGTGACAGTCGGTTCTCCAGGAACAACATCAAGGGGGACAACCGCTCCCGGAAGTTGTCGTTGTTGAACAGGGGCCTTTATACGGGCGGACAGTGTTCATTCGCATATCATAGCTATTCGTGAGGCTCTGTGGAAGAAACGGGCTCGATCGATTCGTGTGTCCCACGCTCGACGTTACCTGTAAGTGCTTACAAACACATCGTCGCTCTAGTTCTTAATTGTTCTATCTCCATTAGTTTCTAAACTGAGAAAATTGAGTTCAAAGTTTCCAAAGTTCAATATTATAGATGCAATGACGTAGTAAAATAATCAAACATACTGTAATATCATCTATTGGATAGTCATTTATCACAATATTTAACCAAATTTTATGTTATTGTCAATATAAATTTTTAATTGTTATTATTATACAGAGATACAACCATTAAAAAAAAACTTTCAAAGTTTCGAAGTTAAGACTTACAATATTTTTTGTTTTCGAGGTTGAATTTTCTTTATATTATGGTGAATTTGTATTCGTCGGACCAATGAGACGCACATAAATTGACTAACTAAATTTTGTTTGAAAAATGAAATTAGAACAGTTAAGAACTCAAACGACGACTTGTAAATTGCATCGATACAGACGGTTCCTAAAATTTTCTTTTTTAACTACCTGTAGTTTTCGTAATTACGGGCTTTCATCGCGCGTAAATAAACCGGCAGGCGATGCATTTTAATCGCGACGGTTGATTGCGCAACGCTCGAAAGAGGAAATCGTAACGATCGCCCGTAAAACGCGACACTTCCAATTACGGGTCGGTGGTCGTTGGGTTTTCATTCATCGGGCCCGAGCGCGTGACCAACGTTTGCGCGCGCAAATCGTCGATTTCAGTGAGAAGCAGTAGCCCGATGAATATTTTCTGCGTTTTAAGCAGGACTTGAAACGGTTCCGAAAATAACTGTTTCAAACTCTTATATAAAAGTTCCGATTGAAAGAGTTATGAAGAACCTTTATTCTGAATAACCGTTACGAAGAACCTAAATTTCAGGCTATGTAAGTTTCAGTTACGGTTTCTATATCAACTCCTCTATCAGTATTGTTTAGATTCTATATCAGTTTTATAACAGTTATTTTTTAGGTTCTATATCAGTTCCGAATAGAATACATTCAGAACCTAAACCGAAATCATAACAGTTTTCAAGCCCTGGTTTTAAGTCTCGTTTCGCTCCACCTTCGGCCAAACCCGCAGCGATCGAAACGTGACAAAGCGAGCACGAATCGTCGACACGTAAAAAAACAATCGAGTGATATTGCTACATAGGCACAAGGAAAATTGGGCGACAGACCGTCGTAGCATGTGAAAATTATTTACTGCACATTCCACGTATCGTTTATCATTCGATAACGCCCGCTTGAATACCCCGGTGTGTCCTCATTCCGGCCCACCTTCTCCTAGGTATTTACGCTCTCGATGCGCGCACACGCACAGAGGGACACCTGTGTGGCTGAACACAGACGCGTAACTCCGTATCGTCGGTTAAAGAAACCGTCGAAACTTTATCGAGGTGAATCGAAGAGTGCGTGGATTTCGTGCTGCGCCTAGTTTTCTAACAGGTTAACGGCATTATTGTTCGAGAAAGGAAACAAGGTGTGTTCCCGGCGTTTGCGACAGTTTGTCTTGTTACTTAACCCGCGAAAGTACCGGTGAAATAGCAGACATTCCATTGAACAGGTCGCGGCGATCGAGGATCGGTTCGAATCGGACGTAGAGATTCGAGTTATTCCTGGTTCTATCCCGTGCACGGGAGAACCAGTTCCAGGTGGATCAAGATTTGTCAAACACGTGTACCATGTATCCCGGAACAGAAACTAAATCCTCCACCAATGAATCCCTGTCTGAGAACATCCTATAGCGAAGCAAAAGACGAGTTCGGTCGACGAAGAAGATTTAAAAACGTGTCAAATATGTCAGCAGGTCCCTTTTTCGATGAATCTCGGTACCGATATGAGTACTCACGTCCTCATACTCCTGCGTGCAGCATGGTCCACGAGATACCTCGACGCTCCTCACCGGACATCTCTTTCACTCCACACACCGAATCTCCCGTTCTTTCCGTTCCCAGTCCAGGATCTACGTGTAATCCCACGGTCCACACGACACTACTTACTTTCTATAGCCAGACGACGGTGTTGTGCTCCACCTAAGGGATACCACACGACACTCCCGTAAAATCGCGCACGATGTCACGGACGGGATCTCCTCCTCTCTCTGTTCCGGGGACACACGGCCGCACCGAGCATCGAAGTCACCAGGGTCTCCGAGAGGATCACCGGGAACGGAGGACCGACACTGCGCAGGAGTAACACTCCTCGTGGCACCGTGTCAGGTGAACGGATAATATTGTTCTGGGAACAGATATATATCCACCTGTCCAGGTATATTCTCCGTGCTCTCGTATGTCGACTCGAACGTAGCCAGTGGCCCCACGACGATCCCGACGCTGTTCGAACGCGCGCGCACGCGTTGATACACACCGAGAGAGACACGAATGACGTCTCTCCGCTACTCCTCGACCTTCGCCGTGTCCCAACGCGTTTTCTGGCACCGTTTTTTTCGTCTGTCCCTCGCCGCCTGGAATGAGGTCTCGTACACACCAACCGAGGGCGACCACGCGACTGCTCGAGAGCAACCTGAATATCGCCACCTGCTTCCTTCGACGTTCCAGGAAGGTCTGAGGTGAGAGGGACGGCCATTTTGAGGGGACCGTGCTGGCTCTCAGGTGGCGCTATGGTTGGAGAACCGTGGGCACTCGACGGTACGGGGTCCGTGGGTATTACTCTTTTACGTGCGCTCACCTGGATAGCTTCTGTCCGTCTTTCTCACCTGCACCGATGGTAGCGCGTTTTGTTGAACGATTTAATGGAAATTTTCTTGGATAAACGAGTTTTCGATCGACGATTATGGTAGGAATGACGTGTGTAGGTTAGAGAGACATTGGTGGATCGTAGGATTGTTTCAGGCCTCGACAGTTTCTCTCGGGCTCGTTGGAACGTGGTCCCGATTCACTACTTTCATTCGAGCAGCTGATCGATACGTGATGGGAAAAAAGAAAGCTGGAACTGCGAGTGGATACCCGTGATTGGTGGGCACCGTTTTAGGATATCCCTACGCGTGATCATATATAAAGAATACGTGAAAAGAAACTTTGTATGCTCAAGAACATGATGCAATATAACCGTATTCCAATATTCAATTCATACACATCAGGCAAAATAAGTCCAAAAAATTTGGAGAATACGGGTACTCGTATCTTTCTTCTGTGATGGCTTTTTATTCTTACTACTTTTCTTAATCTGCTTACACTATAATTTATTTTGTATAAAATAATGGTAGTCGGATGCTTCCCAGGAAAAAACCAGCGCATTATGCGGACTATTTAAAGACCACATCATGTTGTCCGGTAAAACTCATGTGTACACCTTAACTGTGTCATCAAAAAATTAATTGTGTTTACTTTGTATAAAATAAAACGAACAAAATTATGCTCCATACATACGAGTGAAAATAAAGTGTGTCTGGCTACGTACAGCCTTTTCCCCTGTGGAAGTCGATGTGTTAATATGTTTGCACCACCCCCCTAGCTGGTTCCGCCCATGATTCCAATAAAATTGTGCCCAATCTGCCGTCAACCTGCTCATCGTTGTTTTCACTCGTATCGTACCGAAGGATATCAGTCTTCGATATCTCGAATCAGATCATTTTGCCCGTCAGAGATCATAACTACTTTTTCCGTCTGAATGAAAAGCAGGTTGCCTAAGTAACGGCGATACTATGAATTATTTAAATGAATTGTTTAGTATACACGGAACGTTAACTGTGCGCGGCCTCTAGCGTTTCTCGTGTCTGCATTCCTGACCCAGCGACGATGTATGGTATTCTCGATTTAGTAAATCGCGGTGACGGCGACGGTACAGGCGCGCAGCTCCACCGTTCCTTCTGGAAAAGAGAAAAATTGCGGTAATGGCCAGAGAAGCGAGAAGTTTTCGCGTGTGAGCCGGCATACGAACGGCCCACGCGAATGTTTCTGCGCCCACGTGGGAAGCGAGTTGTGTGCGATGATGCAACGTGGATATAATACAGATGCAAATATCCATATATATGTATATGTAATATATGTATATGTCGGTAACAGTTCGCATATAATTACACGCTCAACTGTATTTAAGTTTTACGACTGCACAACTTCCAGCCTGAACGGCTCACCATTCTGGCAACTGACTTTTTCCTGCTTCCTTTCTTCGCCATTAAAGGAATTCCGTTCGTGTCCGATTAGAACAGAGTTCTTACTTTCGTTAAACATGTGTCGTTACGTTCGGGCGTTGCACGGGTGACTGACAGGACAGGCAAATTGTTTGCCAGAAGTAAATTTGTGACGAAGATCAGCCTAGAGCTCGTATTTTTTAATATTTCACACTTCTCGGTAATAATGTATAAAGAATGGTCGTAAATCATTTAAACGGAAGTTAGGCTTTTTATTAACAGCTATTTATCATCCACCGATAATTATCAACGAAACGATGATAGGCGGACCGAATAGACGCCACGAATCGGCTGTGAATAGAGACGCCCAAGACGGCCAAACGAGGTCGATGATGGCCCATTACATAACTCACTGGAGGGCCCTCGAATATCGAAATACCGTCATCGATAATAATAGAAATCGCATAATCAATCCCCCGACGAATCATCGACCAAAAATCGCACCCAGGCTATCCTACAAAAATCAATAAAACAAGAAAGTAAAACAAATAAACTTGAACCGAAATATAGAAATTCCTTCCAACAAATTCTCCACCGTTCTACTAAAAGCTTGCGATGAAACTCGGTATACGCGACGGAGAACACGTCGAACTTCCTCGAAACAAGATCAAGACGCCTTAAGCCTCGTTGCTTGGGCCGCGAGAGGAAGTAAAAAGGTACAGGTGACGACGAACAATATCGTTCCGTTCAAAAGACAAGAGGCTCTCGGTCGTCGTCGTCTAGTGCCAGAGAGCTCTAACCGCGTTAGGCGGTCCGCGTCGCGATATATTTACGCGAACGGGGAGACTTCGGTGTAAAACGGTGTGGCATCGGTCCAGCAGCCACCGTACGGAAATAGATTCTCGTCTGTGGCAATGCAACACACCAGCCCCCTTGTAGACGAGCGCCGCGGACGAGCCAGTCGGAAGCAGCCAGTACCGTGACGACCAGTTCCCGAGTGAAAAACCGGAGAAATCGGCTCCGACGCGAGGTCCCACATGAATGTGAGTGCGATTCTTTCCCTTTCACGGGTGCATTATACCTGTTGGTTAACGGCCACGGGATATCAACGGGGATATACACAGTGCTACGTGCCTTTTGTTCGCCGTTTCTTCATCGGATCCCCGTCGGTGCATCGGCCTGGACGTTGGCGCGGATCAGTTCCGATCGAACGAGATTTCTCATTCTTTCTCTTCGTTTCAACCCATTCTGCGACTTTCTGTGATTGTGCGACTGTTCCTAATTCGAGTTCCAATTGGAATTTCAGTCTAGATACATACACGGCGATCAAAAGTTTGAGGTCACTGATGTCTCTTGACACTGATTCACCTTTATCTTCTATCGGGGGATTTGTTAATGGTCGGACGAATTGTCAACTTTTGGATTCTGGTGCCTTTTTTTCTCGAATCTAGAAGTATTTGTAGCTTCTCGATGAATCATAGAGTACACTGTACTTCTATTTTCTACTACGGGTGATTCCTAACTGTCGACAGTCCCATATGACGGTTGAATGTAATCAGGTTAGTGTAAATGGATCGGGAACTCCGTAGTCAGGCATACGGGTAAAATAAGAATTGCGAACATGAGTATTTTTCTTGAATGGAATACCGATTTTTACTTCTTATTAACATCGAGGAACTCCAACTGTCGACTTCGATTTTAGGAGGGTTTTGTAAGGTAATGATTCCTAATGATATACGTGAAGTATGAGATGTAGACACTCCATAATTTAGAAGATACGAAGTATTAACGTTACGTACGAACCTTCAAGGTATACTATGAATATAAGTCAAAGTTATCGAAATTGCGTTGGCAAAGTAAAAAAAAAAATATTTCGTTGAACGGGACTAGATCCCAGGATCTCCGATTTACCAGCCAAACAACCCTATACTTCGATAAATTTGTCCGATACACAGTACATCTTGAAGGTACTGTGAACTATCATCTTACAATTCTACGTTAAAGTCGGACAGTTGGAATCGTTCCTTTGCAAGGGTTAAAGAGATCACACAGCGGCCCTTCAACTTTGCAATAAAATTATGTATAATTGGGGGACATCCAGCAGCTTCGTTTGTTTCCCGAAGAAGCAATTACGAATACGACTCTCGCCTGATGTTACTCTCTCACGAGATGCACAATCGACACCTCGAGTGATTTCATCGCGAGAAAACTTCGATCCAGCCCCCGGGGCGGAAGTAGCCGCGTGTTCCGCGCACCGAAGTTCCGTGTTTCGTGCGACGTAAACCGGAAACGAGGATCGGTTTGTTTACGAACGCACGCGATCCTCCACCGATGAGTACCCAGTGACACTATCGAGGCGAAAGCATCTGAATCCTTTTCCCATAAAATTGCGGAGGGCACGAGAGCCGATGAAAGTTTCGTTCCGTTAAATAATCGAGGGTTTCATATAAGATCAAAGAGCCACACGATCAAGTGACACGTGTCAGTGAGACGTTCGATCGTCCACGATCACCTATCCGATTAATTTCGAAACTGTCGAGAATTATGACTCGTATAAATTCGAGTGGAGCCAAAATGGGCTGTAACGCGAATTCCCTGGAAGATCTATTATGATACTAAAGCACGGGAGAATATTATTACACTGTTAGAAAAATGTTTCCCGGATGATCTCTAGCGAGGTTGGATAGAGCTTGGAATACCTCCAACTGCTGCAGACTTTAGCGATTTCACCAAAAAATAGCGGCTCGTAAAGTGCAGCCGGCTTCGTCGAGTCGCGTCTCCGTTTAAAATTAACGCGTATTCGTACCTTAACCCGAACGACTGAGATTGCTTTTTCCTCAATACAGGTCTCTCCTTTCATTCTCGTCTATGATAAAACCGAATCGATCGTTCGCGTGGACAAGATCACTTGGGCGCGTCTAAATTTATAATTCTTGGAAATCCGTTGCTTTGTTGCTCTTGCATAGGACAGAATAGCAAGGCGTCGAACAAACGAGAAGCGTACCGTGGCTACAGAACAGAAGGGGTAAATGGTCTAAAGATACGTATGGCTCTAATTCGAGGATCTAATTCGCGCGCGTGGAACTCACGAGGCCTCCTACCTTGGCTGGAGTCGTGGATAGAGCAAAATTATACTTTTTCTGCTGTTTTCCTCCCCGTCGGCGTGTCGACAATACTCCGTATCGTTTCGAAGGTGGACGTGGCCACCTCCTCCATTTACGAATTATCATTTCCTCCGCATAAGAGGACCTGCCAGGAAAGTACATTTGAATTTCATCGCATGGTCGGGAGGATCGTATGAAACTTTTCTGTTTCGCATAACCAGCGGAGAAAATTCCTCGTGGAATGTTAACGTAATCCCGATAGAAACGTTGAATGAATGCACGGGCATAACCCACGCGATATTTACGGATTCCCCGCGTTCGTGTCGACCACCGAGAATGTATAGTGTCGCGTGCCACACGGCTCGGTTTTATTTCGAGACACGGAACACGATTTTTCCGTCCCTCACCTCCCACCGAAATAGATCCGATTTCCGTTGTCTCTACGCAAGAGGATCCGATGACGTCAGGCTTTCTCGAGGACCAGCTCGAGAAATCTTCGATAGTGCATCCTCGAAATTACTCGGCCACCTAATCCAAGGTGCGATGACATGAATTCACGCGTCCGTTTGGCAGCCTAACACGAGGCCCGATGCGCCGCTGCCAGCTTGTCTCGACGCCTCGTTTCGGGATTGCGTGCAAAAATGCGCCCCGCCTGATAAACAATGGCTCTGGACGCGCACCTAGAGCCCCGTGATACATTGCAACTGTGCGCTATGGCATCGTAAAACGACGGAAAATAGCTTGCATTCGAATACAGCGAACTGCACGAATTCATTATAATTGTAGTTGATTTAATGTGGGAATTGTAAATTCAGTTAGAAACACATAAAAATATTTAGAACTATTTTTTACAATTCTAGTTTTTATTTAAGAAACACGTAGGTACTACTGCGTCAACTGCTCTCAGCTTTTGTTTTTGACAAAGCCTGTACTACTACGGAATTCGGCATCAAAGTGTTAATATACCAGAAAGTATCGATAGAAGAAAGATATTAGAGGAGGAACAGGGATGATAAAAAGATTTCGTATTGTAATTGAGTTCACTGTAAAGAAGGAAGCTCAGGATAATAGCTCGAGTACGTCGCACTCATCGAGACATTACTGTATATGTTACAGAACCCGGGAGCTGAAAAATGGCGCCCGATGGCCATCTCGAACCCGTCAACCCGGTTACGCATGGCAAGGTCCATGCCTCACTGGGTACTGGTACGTACAATTCGATGTAATGGGTGTACCATAATTGAAAGAATATTGTTCAACTTTAAATTCATTCATTCCATTCGATATCACATTGCTATATCATATTGATACACAGTGCTAAAAGATTGTAGCCTTACAAAGGCCATTGACCCTCGTACACTGTGCGGATCAATTTGTACCAAACTTAGACTTTAATGCTTAATCGGATTGTTTAAATTAATTAGTAGTCACCAGTAGTTTACATGTAACTGATCGAACAGTACATAGCATGTTAAAAAAGGGGTCTAAGACTTTAAGGATTTATAGTTGCTCACTTAGAATTAGTGTGGAAGTAAAAAATTTCAAAACAATATAAGACCTAAAATCCTTTTCCCTTTCGATTCAAAACACATTTCTCAACGATTCCCGTTCTCTGGTCCCAGGCCCAACAACAAAAGGAATCGGACCAGAAGCATCAACGACGACCACCGACCCCGCCGAAGATACCACCACCATCCCTCTCCGGTGACTGCGGCGAGCCGGACTACGAAATCATCGAATTCCCAACCCGACCACAACCCGAAAAGTCCTCGACGCCGATCGCGAACGCGTTCAAATGCGCCCTATGCGGCACCGAGAACGTGTACGCCCGTTGCGACGTATGCAACGGGACCTACTGCGAGGCCTGCGACGACATGAATCACAAACACCCCAAGAGAAAGAACCACGTGAGACGACGGATCCTGATGGATCACGCGATGAAAACACGACCGCCGTTGCCGCCTAAAGGGGAGAACCTGTCGAATCCGCCCCCGATACCGCCGCCCAGGCGTAATCGGAAGACTCAGGTAGGATGCGTTCTGGCCTGAGGCTTTCATCCCATTCCGTGAACATTCTTCCAGGACCGGTGATCCGCCATAGGTACGAAGCTCCTCGACGTTGACCAGAATCGTGCCAGATGATTGCTTACGGAACACGATTGAAATCGGCGGTCACCAGGTTGCGAGTGTCGCGAGCCCCTATTCTCTGATCTTTGTTTTATTTATTTTTAACGAAATCATCCGTCCCTTGCTTTTTATTATCCTTTGACAGCCTTCTCGAAAGTGTAAAGGTTCTGGTGTTGAATATCTGTCAAGTCGCAACTTTGTCTCCGGTGATTTGAATCGTTCTCGGCATTGTTAAACGACCGTATTTCGTTGTAATACGTACACTCATCGATTGTTGATTTATAGAGAAGAAAACGAAACACGTCACACCGAGGCAACGAAGATTGTTATGCGCGGCGTTCGCATCGGATCTTTTTTTTTTTTTAAAAACGGACGTTAATGTTGTTCCTCCGAGGAGCAGAGATTTTATTGTATATTGTTCGTTGGTTTTTGATCGAATACACCACGTTACCGCAAAAACTACACCACTGCCGTATTCACTGAACCCGTTATTCACTCTTTCTTTCTTTTTTTGGTCTTTTCCACGTTTCTTCGTCGACGACGTAACGGGGCGGGAAAGGACGAACAGGGACGTGGTTGCGATATCCGTGTTCGATGAAATACGGTTTAGACGCGGGAGAAATTCTCCTTGTGGAGAATCGTTGACGGTGAATATGGCAGAGACACGGTTAACACGGTGATTCTATTCGTCCACGATACCACGATCCTATTCTACGTCGCCTATGCGCTACTCCCGTACCGTTACTGGTACAATCTTATATACTATACACGAACATCGATTATTTTCAGCTGATTCGTAGTTCTTATTCGACCGTTTATCATCGTCAGTTTTAGTTGAGTTGCAAATTTTTCACCGTTATTTTCCTTTTGTCCACTAACGCTTTTGTCTCATCGACGATTTAGCAAGCCATTTAATTCTAGCACCGCTTCAGGCGACAGGCTCCGTAACCAGAATCCAACGTGTCCTCTATACATACATGTATGCGATTCTCGATTCATGATTTCTTTTGTTTCGTCACGTTTCAACAACCAAGAATCCACAGTTCACCGAGCAAACGACACCGCGAGACGGTGCTCGGGTCAGCTCGACTGTGTAATAAACCTCAGGTTTCCGCGCTTAGGCTAAATCGACGCAAAACCAGGGACCCCCCACGAATCTCTCCTTGATCGAGAGAGTCGGCAGCTTGAAGCGAAACCTACCGAACACGAGCAGGCCGGTATCGGTGAGCCTGGACACGAAAACGGTGTCGAAATCCACGCAGTCCGTGAAAGACGCCACTTCCGTCGACGGATCCGGCACTGGCACCGACAAAATGTCCACCTTACAGGTAAACAGCTTCGACGCTTGATGGTTCGCGGACGATCAGTCATACTTGTCAATCGTTGAATTCGATCGAAACGGGATCAAATTGCTATGACCGTAATGGTATTTTAGAATTATTTAAATTTAAATACCTCCTGAACTGCTAAGTTTTCAGCTGCATCGATTGATGTATTAAAAAATACCATGTTCCATTTAAAAAAACAAAGTTGACCTTTATATGACCTTTACGCGTCTACTCACGAAAAAAACTAATAACATCAGAATATGCTCCACTCGATACCATTCAAGCCTCCGCTGAAACATTTTTTGCTACGAGTAACAATAGCAAGAAAATCAAGATGTCATAATCGGGTGAGACACCCTTATATTTTTGACGCAATGGACGTGTAAAAATCAAACAAGTCTGGTCACATTTCCATAATTTGCACGTGTCTCGATGGACAATCGCAGCAATCGTGCAGCTCGGTGCGAGAATATTGATTGACAACCGTGTCTGATCGTCTGCGAATGAGTTTCGAGTGATCGGTTGAGAAAAAGGAGCCAAACGAGCCTGCGAATCTTCAGGAAAGGTACAGGAAATATCAAGAAGCGATGCGCGCTCAAGACGCGAATAGACGAAGGCACACATCCGGTGACATATCAAGAGACACGGCGAATACGAGGCCGTTGAGTATGGGCAGCCCAAGACCGGCGCCACCAGTGCCGCCGCCGCCTCCTCCTAGATCGATGATACAGTCGGCGAGCGTTTGCGATTTATCCTCGGCGCATATGTGGAATCCTGGAATGCATCAGGTAATTAACGTTGAATTTATTCGACTTCTGGATAACCTTCGACGCTATCGATCTTGAAACGGAACGTTTATGACGTTAGAAGCTGAACGTACCGATTGCTAATAGTCCCCCCCCCCTCCCATATTGAATTAGCAGACGTGCCTTCACAGATAACAGGTAGTTTAATCTTCGTGCATTCCCTCCGAGAATCTTCCTACAAGATATCTCTACACTTAAGATATTCGAACGGCACGTTAGAAATTAAATTTAAATCCTTTTTCTTTCGAACAACGAAGAACCCTGAATCTACATAAGTTGTATATTCTAGTCGGTATCGAATCTTCGGAATTAGTAATACTCCAGGGTTTTGATTGTAATTTCAGTGGAGATTTTCAATTTTCAGGCCCAGTCCATGGCTCACTTAGGTCCAGGCGGAATGCCCATGATGTGGTACCCGCCGAATGGTCCCTGGGACATGAGTATGGGCGGTTCCACGATGAGCCTGAATCATCCAGCGATGTGGGGCTGTCCGATGGGGTATCCACAATCGCAGATGCTACCGCCGCACTATCCAGGCTCGCTCTCGAGGCCGCACAGTCCAGCGAGAAGCTTAAAGTCCAGCAGAAGATCAAGGGCTGCATCGCCCTCGCCCAGTCTCAAGTCCAGGAAATCGTTGGCCTCCAGGTCACGATCGAAAAGATCGCAGGGATCGCCGTCTGACGCGAGTTCCGAGGACTCTGGGGAGTCGGACATCGACGACAGGCTTTCTCGTAGCTCCAGAGGCACTAGACGAGGTAGCCTATCCAGAAGCAAACAGAGGAACTACCACGAGGACGACGGTGGCAGGAGTTTGTTGACAAGGAACCGACGAGAGTAAGTTGATCCTCGAGGTGGCAAGACACAGGTTGTCGAGTTATCCTTGTACCGTTTTATATCTCGCTTTATATTTCAGACGGCTGATGTCAGAGGAAAGGATGACAAGCACCGAGGACTGGTCCGAGGGACCAAGCAAACGATACTCGAGGAACTTCGAGGACTTGCAGAAGAACACTCTGAACGCCCGACGACGTTACGATCAAGAGGATCGCAGGCTCTCGAAATTGGATCCTCGAGTCGATCGCGTTCCCAACGGCGGGTACAGAGAACGTCGAAGACAGAGCACCGACGACGAATCGTCCGACAGAAGATCGACCTTGCCCGTTCGATCGAGAGTCACCAGCTCCTCCGACGATCACTTCGAGAAAGTGGAATCTGCAGGAAAAAGACGGAACGAAGATGTGCTTTCGAGAAGATCGTCTTCCGTGAGAAGGGACCCAGGATCGGACGATTTCGAGAGATCCACCCGTCGAGATTCCAGACGATCCTCGATCGACAGCGACGCGCAAACCTCGAAGAAACCACCGTCTCGAGATTCATCCTCCAGGCGAAATCAAGACCAGGAGAGATTAAACAAAGAAGAGAACGAACTTCCGTCGCGTTCATCGACGAGGACACAACGGAGTCGCGATCCATCGCGTGACCGAGAGTTGCCAAAAAGGGAAAGTTTGAGGGGAGAAGCTTCTCCGGAGGACACGGAGAGGTCTGCCAAACGAAGTTCCCGTAGATCGTCGTTCGAGTCCGATAACCAGAGCACGAGGAAGACACCGTCTCGCGAGGCTGTCCCGAAGAAGCTTCAGCAGAGCGATCGAGAGATCTCGAAATCGAATGGATCGAGCAGGAACCAAGAGACGGAGACGCGAGAGGTTGAGAAACGTAGTGTAGAGAGTCCTCGGATGAAAGAACCTGAAATAATTAAACGTCCAGAGAGACCAGCCTCAGCGAAGAAAGAAGCAAAGCGTCAGGATCAGAATATTTCATCCAAGGAAACGGCTTCGTCGAATGTCCCCGGCGAGTCGAAGCCAGCAATGGAGATACCAAAAGAGGAATGGGCCTGCGAGCACTGCACATTTATAAATAACATGAACGACCGTGTCTGCGTGGTCTGTTGCAAAACAAAAAGCAGCGCGTTGCCGCCGAGTGGCGACGACACCGCAGAGGATCCTCCATGCGAACCACCGAAGAGCGAATCAGCGACGACCTCCAGCAACCTAAGCGAACCTAGCCCCGATCTCGAGAAACGGACAAGCCTGTTGAAAATCTCGAACAGCGAAGAGAGCGGGGACAGTGGCTCGGCAAAGAACAAAGGTAGAGCAAGACGAAAAATTAGCTTTTCCTTTGGTACCAAGTCGCATCAGTGACCGTAGTAGTAGGTACCTGTTGCCCAATTCTCCGAGTGTCTCCCCTCCCCCACCACCCCCTGAGTCCGTGAGATGTTTCAGACGTGTTTCTACTTACGTTCTTCTATGGTTTTTTTTTTGTACGAGAGAAAGAGAGAAAAAAAGCACAATGACAAGAATGGATTGTGTCCTCCTGTCGATGTATACCCTTGGATGAATAATAAAGAGACACGCGAATATTATTTCGTACGCAACGACCAGTGGATACCAAATGCATAGTCGTATTTGAAATGAAGCCTACCTTCTTCTTCTTCTTCTTCTCTCGACCATGTCCGATGCGTTTTATTATTATTCATTCAAGAGGAGCTGCTTTCAAGCACGGGCGTGCATTTGGATGGTGTTCTTTACGTATCCTCATGGAAATAATGTGACTCTCTGGTACGCCCTTGGACGTATGAGACGTGAATAAAAGTGATCCTTGCAATTGCCTGCCCTTGGTCGGAACGATCTCTTGAGTACATGGTTACGAGGAAAACGGTATTGTTGGTATTATGGTTTTAAATGTGGATATTGTATGTTATTAAAGACATAAGACTCGCTGGAAATAACGAGGACACTTGAAGTTACAGAGGTCGCGACGTTGGACGATTCGTCGACGGTCGTTACCGAGAATAAGCTACCGGAAGCCTCGTCGGTAACGAAAGATACAACGTCAGAGACATCGAGTAGTACATTGATGGCCGTGGAGAGCACGCAGGACGCATCGATCGGCGTGGCTGTCTCGAAAGTGAAAGAAGAAGAGCGCGCAACATCGCCGATCAGACGACCGATGCTCGCGCAAATTCAAAAAATGCACTCGGTTTCGACTGGAACGTCGCCACCGCCTCAGACCATCTCGACTCAAGTAAGAAATTGTAATTACAGTTCCGTTATAGTTTATTTTAGTTACTTATGGTTTCGTCAAGCTATGCCACAAAATGCAAAATTACATTTTTATTCATTCTGTCACCTCTTGATGTCAAGTTATTATCCTTTAATTTTTAGACATTAAAATTTTTGATTCTTGGTGAATTAAAAACAGTTCTCATAAAAAAGAAAAATCTTTTGTTGTTCTTCTAATTCATGGTATGTAAAAAAATGCTTGTAAAATATTATTGTGACTTTTTAGAAACATGTGATTTCGCGAAAAATAGCATAGCTAACTCTTCTACTGGATCCCTCAATTTAACGTCCCTTACTCCAGCACTAAAAGTTGAAGAATACAAGGAAATGAGTACAACAAATACAAGAAAAAGTAAGAAAGAAGAGCATTATTTATTCGAGCAAAAATACGTTTTTCAGACCTACGACTATCTTCCAGCAAGAGGAAATACCGGGCTTGCAAGAACAGCATCAGGCTCCAAGGGACTTCTTTATTACGAGGACAGTGACGCAGAGGTAAAAGCGCCTGACAAAGCTCAAACTCCAGTTCCATCAAAGTCCCTGCAGTGTAGACGTACGGTGAAACACTCGGAAATTCTCTATTGAATCCGTAATCGATCGTTGAACCGACATATTTCCGTAAATCTTTAATATCGAAGACATTCATACAATACAGACGATTACCCCCAAACCCTCGAAGTACCGTAAGCTTGTGGTAACATTGACACGGATAGGATACCTTCGTCCCAACTCAGAAACTGATAAATTTCGAATTTTCTCGCTCTGCAAATTGTTAAACAAAATTGATTTTCACGTGAAAATATATTTCACGTAAAAAATACCTGCCCTATCGGAAATGATTATTTTCTGACTGTGACACAAAGTTACCCCCGACTGAGTCAAAACTACTCCACCTTACGGTACGGAAAAATAAGAAATAAAAATATAAATATTCAATATTCATAAACTGCAGATTATCCAAGCGTTTCGGGTCCGCGTGATTTCCCCTAAAATCGATCCGCCGTCGCGAGTGAAGCAAGTTTCGCAATTAAAGCATCCCTCCCGGTTATTTTCAAACTCGTATTTGGACCGCGTTATTGGCCTTTGAAAACTTGGCCCGAAGTCCGCTCAAACGGAGCAGCCGTTTCGCCGTTCGAGCCAAAGGCGCCCTTCAATTTTTTAATGGCCGTCGTTCCCGGTTTTACCGGGAAATCCCGCGGCCGTTTTCTCTGACGAACGATTTAATGAAAGGAGCCCGTACGGAGCGTCTGTTCCAGGAGCAGCAGGTCAGGTACGCGAACAGCCCGGATCTGTATCCACGTCTGCAGGAGCAGTATCTGCAGCAGCTGATCGCTGGATCGAGCAGGAATCAAACGCGACGGAACTCGATCGACTCGGCGCATCTTTATTACCGTTCCAGGGTAATCTTGTTCAACCCCCAACGAGAATCAAATGGTTTCTAATCCCATCCAACCTACGATCTACTTAACCGTATTTTTTTGTTTTTGTTTTTTTTTTATTTAATCTGTATTGATCTTGATTTCACGCTCCGTAGCCTCGGTGTGAACGTAGGCAGGATTACACACAGCCCCTTAATTCGCCGATCACTTGTTCATCTTCTTTGCTTCCGTAGATAATGATTGTGAGAAATAACGTCTGGTTTTTGTTTATCGCATTAATCCATGTTAGAGATAGTAACACTGTGTCACTTGGTGTCGTTGTACAGGGATGCCATTCTGGGACGATCGAACCTCTTCGAACGACTAGTTCGTCCGTTCCCAACGTCACGAGCACCTCTTCCTCCGAAAACCCTCTTCGTATGTATTTTTCAACGAGTTAGTCAGCGAACGGAGGTATTAATTTCGTGTTTCAGGAGCCGAGCCAGCCGAGATTCCTCGAGGCGAGCTCCAGTTCCCAAGGCGGCGTCTCGACGTTGACGCGGCAGGGCTTAGAAATTGTCGAACTTCTGCGTGACGCCGAGAGGCACGGTTACTCCACCGACGACGTTCAGGTGGCTTTATCGCAGGGCGCGAGCAACCCGATCGAATGGCTGAAGGCGCAGTGGCCTCATTTGGTGGAGACCGTGCAAGTTCTCGCGACCACACAGGGGAAAGAGCTGAAGGAGAATAATGTCGGCGCGATCACAGCCCCGGAGGCGAAGGAAGCGTTAAGATCGGCCAAGGGCGATGTTTGGAACGCTGTTGCCATCGCGATTCAACGGAGACAGCTGAAAGTAAGAGTTTCGAGGATAATTGTTGCAGCTCGGAATGACGGATACTTTGGTCGTGCAACGTATTTACATTAGTACAACGTATGTACAAATTCATTCGTGGCCCCTACTATTATTCCGTAGTAGGACAAAAATATTGAACAAATATTTTTTTAGCCACATTTTTTAATAAGAAGTAAATATTGAATCCAAATATTGTATACATATACAGGAAATATAAAATACATGTTTCCAATATTACATACATATTTATTTTATATTGGGAAAAAAATATTTTTTTCGTAATATGAAATAAACATTGTATGAATATTTAAATATTAAAATGAGATTGAATCTCTTGATAAGTAACTTCGACGGATTTTTATCAACTTTTCTCGTGAACAGACGGACTGCACGGTTTAATTTACAACGATATTGGTGACCTCTGTTGATTATTTTCCATTGAACGCATCGTGAACCGAATGCCCGATAAGTGAAATTCACCACATCAGGTGCAACGACCAGAGTAGAAGTCCTTTTGGGTCCCCCAGGGGGGTGACGGGCGGTCTTTAAGTTATTACGAAGTTTTCGTTGACGTGGAATTTCAAATGACTTTCCGCAGTGCGAGGAAATAATGAAGAAAGGTAACTTCACGACGGCGGAAGTTGTGAAAGCGCTGGAGAATAACGCAGGCGCCGAGGACGCGGCTTTATTCGAGCTACAAAAGAATCAGCTCAAGCCGTTTTTGATGAGGATCTGGGGTCCTCCGGTCGGGGTGGAAAATGACGAGGCTGCACCGCGGGAAGGTCAGCGAATATTTTCACCGTCGGAAAGCATACCGATTGAATCCCCTTTTGTAGAATTAAAAAGCTTCCGCGGCCGGGTTCGATGCCCTTATATTGCAAGGTCCTTCCTATTTCTCCGGGGAAAACTGAAATCCGATTAATAACGAAGGATCGAACCATTTATACATCATTTATACAAGGGCTGAATTAGTTTCGTATAATCTCCTTGTCTACCTTAGCTCTTGGGCGAACAAAGAAATAAATCGACATCGTTCAAATTGTATAATTTACGTAACGCTTTTGCTTAAAGTTTATTTTAATCGGCGGTATATCCCTTACTGAGGGGTTTATTTAAAAAAAAGTAGTCAACATATTGAACCGAACGAATTATTAACCCTTTAAGACCCAATATTGCATCGGTGCAACACTCATTTTAAAAATTTAAAATAATTCAAGATTAATGTCTAACTCTTGTCAGCAAGAAAAGTACATTTCAACGTCTTCGTTTGGAAAATTCAAGTACTCATACTTGAATACAGTACAACATACATGTATATCATAATTTTGATATAACGATTTAAGGATCTGAGTGTTAAAGGGTCAATACAGATCCTCGGAGATTGTCCTTTTTCCAAAACCGTCGCGTTTCCCGAATATTCCTTCGTTCTATCTCGATAATACCATTGTTCCTGCATGAACCCAACAGATATAATTCAGTTGATTGCCAGGGGTTCAGAATAATCGTTCGGATAATTTTTAATCGGTCGAAACGAAGGTGTCCAGAGTGGAACCCTGTGGGTCCTTAGGAAACAGTGACGATCATCGACCATATCAAACTGTTCTAGATGCGGCAGGTGCGGTCGGTGGTGGTACGGGTGTTCCCGAACAGGTTTCCAACGTGTCAGACTCCGAGGCGCGGAAGCAGGTAATGTCACCAATTGTTGAAAATTTCGTGGCGTTGCAGGCCGACTTTCAAAAGCAACTGGCGGCCCTCCAGCAACTGACCGATAACTGGCAACACGAGAAAGAGCCCCCGAACACGCACGGTAACGAGCCTGTTAATCTGCACGAAGGTAACAATGACGATCGAGCGGTTTTAATCGATAAAAATCTGGTCCGAAGGACCGTACAAGACCTCGATGTAACCGAGGCCCTTAGAACGCCGGAGAAACGACTCGTGAACTGCCCCGACGACGAATCGACACGAACGACCGTAGACGAGACTGTATTATTGCCTGTAAACGATAAACTTTTAATTAGAGAACTCGATGCACCTGCTATAGATTGTGAGAAAAAAGTAACCGCAACAAGTGTAATCGGGGAAACGAACGAACAGAAACCTACGGAAAATCTATTAAGGAAAGACGATAAAAAAGTGAATGAAGCGATTTTGGATATTGATAAGGTTCGAACACCTGAAGTACAAAAAATGCGTCTCGGGGAAGTGAAAAAGAAAATCGAGGATAAGATAGATCAGAAGGAATTATTGCCTGCAGAGGATAATACTGTAAGTGTTCGTATTGAAAATCCTGATAGGAAGTCTCCTGTTTCAAATATAATTAAGGAAACGACAGAACTGGCTTCTTCGAGTCTGTCGGGTGATTTTTCAGAGATTCCAAAGAATAAAGTAACGGAAGAAGTGATTCTTCATCCGTGCAAAGAGAAGAATCAATCCGCCGAGTTACAAAGGGAACTCAAGAAAGCGGATAAAAGTGATGATACCGAGATAGAAAAAGCTGGAACAAAGATCGCGGATAAGCCGCCCGCGGGGGTAGAATTAAAAGCAATCGACGCGAGTAGCTCGAAGGAAAATATTGAGGAAACAGGGAGCCAAAGTTTTGACATAGTTCGGAAGGGAGACGAGGAGATTCCTGGACGAGTCGACGGAAACGAAATCTCGCCTCGAGAGACTGCCGGTTTTAATCAAAGGACCGTAGAAGTAGATAAAAATTCCGTTTCACCTGAAAGCGTCCCTGTAGACCGAAATGTATCGAACCACGGTTCGCCAGAGAATTCACAACCATCTAGTGGAATTGAACAACCCAGCCTGGTGGACGAAAAACTGTTGGAAAGTGAAGAAAACTTGCAGGAAGAGACAGTCTTCGATCCAGTCGTTAATCCATCCGACCGCCCCGGACAACCACAAGAGCCAGGTATTTCAACGGAAAAAACACCCGAAAGCATAGAGTCGACGGACAATTCGAGCCAAACAGCCGCAACTACCCTCGAAAAACAGCAATCATCGTCGATTACCACGGCGAACGATTCCTCCGCGAACGGTCCTCCGCAAGAAGTCACGCAGAAAAGCAACGAAACCCAAGCAGCAGTCACCGTGGAGGCGCTGATATCCGCGGTGAGATCGTTGCCAGAGCAATTACTTGGTCCGTTCGTCTCGGCGATGCAGATGTTAGCGCCGAAGAAGACCCTGGATGTCGATCGATCGAACGAAGTCAACGTCGCGACGATCGATCCCCTGGAAAAGAATGCGAAAGAAAAAATGGTGAAGGAGTCGAAGACTGTGTCTTCAGAAACGCCAGGAGTAGATCAAAAGAGCGACGAAGACACTGCGAAACTTCACCTGGTGGAGAGGATTGTCGATGAAATTGGCGGTGTCCCAGCCGAGTCAACGGTATCTGCCACTGCCGAAACGACCGCGGCCGACATCGAAAAGCTGCAAGAACTCGAAACGGTACGTAGAGACGCAGGAAACGACGGTGTTCGTGGTAACGCGAGTGGGAGGATAATGGAGGCGGCTGGGAACACGGTGGTAGCGAAATTTCACGGTAACGTCGAGGTCTCGAAGGATCCGTCGAATCTGTACGGGAAAGTGACGCTGCTATCGGGTTGCGAGGAAACAAAGATGGTGTCTGGAAACAACGGGGCTGAAGTAAGTTCGGAAAAATGCGCGCCGGAAGTCGCGGCAGACGGCATTAGAGGCGGAACGGAGCCTCCGGAGAATGCTGATCGCGGGAGAACGCTCGACGACGCAGGTGAAGCTTTGGTTGTTCACGTGAAAGTGTTAACGATTGATTCTTCTCACGGGACCGAGACCCAAATAATGGACGAATTGTCGTCGGTAAAGGAAGCTGACGGCTCTTCCGTGAATAACACCGAGGACTCACGATCTAACAACGCATCTTCGTGCGACCAATCAGCCATCATGCATTGTTTAACGAGAAATAACGAAATCATTGGCGCGCAATCATTATCGACGTCATCCCCCGTGGCACGTGGCTCGGAAACATCTGAATCATCCGACAGACGGACACGTATCACGAGAGTTCAGAGTTGCGATGATAACCGTGTGAAATTGATCGATAGCAGTTTCGTAGGCGAGCATAGAGATTCTGTAGAATATCCAGTTACTACGGCGGTTAATTCTAGTGCTGATAACTCGACTAATTTCACCGTTACGACGACGAGCTTGTCTTCTCTTACTAATCCTCCCGTTTGTGAATTTACTAAAGTTAACGCGCAGAGTCGTGAAATTGCCACGAACGAAATTCCTGAGGGTTCAGAAGTCCTTGCTGAAGTCTCCAATAATCCCGGAAACGCTGTGCCCCAAACTTCTGCTGATTCCAATACCTGTACCAATGAAATTTCAGAAGCTTCGGTAATTAATGCGCTTGAAAATCATAAAATCACCGAGAACGGTAAAGAGGTCGCTATTGATGCTAAAAATTGTCCTGAAACTTTCGTAGATTCTAAAACACTGGGCTCCAAAGTCCTGGATGGTTTCAGAGTGATTATGAATAAACTTTCTGTGGATTATAAAAATCTCAATGAAAAAGTTCCCACGGAATCCAAAGCCGTTGCGACTGAAGTTACTGTAGTACCTCTAATTACGAAGGATTGTTTAATTATTCCAAAAGAAGTTCTTTCAGATTCGATAAACCACGTCAAAGGGATTTCTCAAGATCCCACAGCTTCTGTCCTGGAAATGTCAGAAAATTCGAAATTTATTCACAATGAGGCTCCCAAAGATTCCGAAAATCATGTCGAAGAAGTTCTCCAGGATTCTGGCAACGTCGTACGAGAAGTTCCTCTGGACCCTCGAACATCGATCTTCGATATTTCAAAGTGTTCGGAAACTGGTGCGCAACAAATTATCGAGAATTCCGAATCCCTTATCCAAAATGCGTCGAAACATCCCGAGGAACTTCACGACGTTACCACAGATTCTAAAATTACCGTTTCCTTAGCTACACAAGACAGCGAAACAATATCGAGTGAAATTCCTGAAGATTCCATAGTCCTTGTCGAAGAAGTTTCTAACGATCCTCGACACGTTGTTCGTGAAATCCCCATTGATCCCAAAATTCTAGTCTCTGAAACGTCAAAAAATGCTGAAACCACCGCGCAGGAAACTTCCAAAGAGTCTGTTGTTAATGAGCAAGGAACTTCTAATGATCCCAAGCCCGTGGCCGAAGAAATTTCTAACGAAATCAATGATACCGTTGGCGAACCGTCCGAGAATCCGAAAACGGAAACGACAAATATCTCGAACGGAACTAAAGCTCTTTTCCCCGAAATATCCAAATCCCCGTTGCATGTGTCTGAAAAAGTAGAGCAGCCTATCTCCGTTGCATGCCACATACCTCAGTCCGGTGACAAAATCGATACTCGTCCAATAACTTCCGTAAGTAAGTCGCTCGACTCTGACGTGAAAACAGGAAAAAGCAAGCAACGTGTATCGTTGGTGATCCAGGGGAATAACTACGAGGTAACAGATGACGGTTTTTCGAACAAAGAACAAAACGATGTGAATACAATGGATGGAATGAATAGATCGGAGGAGAATTCAAAGATCGAAAATTCACCGATAGTTCCAGGGAATAGTAAGACTTCAACGTTTATAGATCCCATTTCAATGTCCAACGACGTCGACGCGAATAAAAGCACCGAGGCACTAGCGAATATCGAGTCGACAATTTTAACTATTTCGAGTGACTCTCGTATTAATGGTCCGTCGTCGAGCACGGAAACTCTGGATTCCGAATCCGTCGTTAACAAGCTGAATTCTATGGACACCAACAAAATTCCGGAAAGTCCAATCGATCCCAATGATATTGTTGATATGTCGCGTAATGCGGTCGCTTCGAGTACAGAAACTAACTCGATCGAATCGAGTTCTAACGATACGGTTCTTGAAAGTTACTCCGATACTACATCGATAGCTACTATCGATATTTCGAAGGATTCGAATAATAACGCGTCGGAGTCGGTGGATCCAGAAGTTAAAGAGAATGAAATACAAAAAGAAAGTAAAGATGTCCCTGATGCACCTGCAGTCGAAAATTCAAATGAAAATATATCGAACTCGGATTTAAGAACGAGCGTTAAATTGGCAGAGTGTCGAAATATCGGGGGTGTTATTGATATTCCACCTGGAGTACCTGAAATCATCGAGATTAACATAACCGAGTGCCCGATGATAGCGGTGAATGAATGCGCGCCAATAAAACATTTCGAGAGTATGCCTGAAGTTCGAACTCTCGAAGAATCCACGAAACTGAGAACAGAACGTGAAGTTCTGAAAAAAGATGCAATCGAAAATAGTGAAATACGAACCGATACGACTGTGGCATTTGTAGTCGCAGCTAAGGAAAGATCGAAATCACCTGGCAAGAGGTTCGGTCGAAGAAGATCGCCCGTGAAAGTGGTGAAAAAACCGACTGGCATACCCAGACGAAATTTCGGGAAAATTAGCCCGAAGGGAACATCGAAAAGTATCCCGAGAGCAAAAGAAATGGCGGTGGAAGTGATTCGCAAATCGATTCTACCTATACAAAGAGCAGCAAAAAGAGAAACTATGGGAAAGGTAGACGCAAGAACCGCGAAAATCGTGTCGAATATTACGCAAACGGGTAAAATGAAAATGACAACTGTACCAAAACAGGTTGAAAGGTTGACCAAAACAAATTCCAAGTCGATTGGTTCGCAAGTAACCACGCAGAAACGATCCACCATCTTGAAAACCATATCGAAGGGTTGCGAACAGATGAAACGATCGATCATCTCTGTACAGTCCAAAGACAAGATCGCTCGGGTAGAAACGGAGAAGAAGATACAAGAAATACCAAAAAGCTCTTTCCTCTCGAGGATCCCAGTGTTCACAGCGAGACGTCCGCAATCTGCGAAAAGTTCGCAATCTTCGGTGGTGTTATCCGCCGATTTGAATAACACCACGGCGAAACCAGAAGGCCAAGAAACTGTTAGGAAAACTGGTTCATCGGGAAATCCTACGAAACTGAAGGCGCCACAAAATATTGTCTCCGATCGAACCGATACGGATTTAGATGGCAGGAAAGTAGAGCTTTCGAGAGGTTCGACAGTCGACGGGAATAGAAATATCAATAATATAAGAGACAATTCTGTAACGGAGAAGCTGAAGACTGGTGAATTAGACGAAGAACAGAACGACGATTCGAACGACACAGATTCCAGCGAGGAGTACACACGTGAACCGGAAGACAGTTCCGACGTGGAAGGTTCCTCAGACTTCGACAGCACTGACACGCAACATTCCGACAACACCTTGGACAGCATGGAGGATCTGACCGACGCCGAGATTCGGCTGCAAGAAACGCTGAACGCGATCAAGGCGAAAATATCCGACTCGGAGTACGAAGAGAGCGGGAACGAGTACAGCGACGTGGACACTCAGGGCTCGGATTCCAGCGACATTCGCGTGGATCGTAAAGATTCTAATGGCATTGTGGCGGCTGAAGATTCATCGTTCGACGAGGAAGAACCGTTAGAGGACGCGGAGATCGATGGGATGTCCGAGGAGGATGAAACTTTGAGAGCCGATGACGTTGACCCGAAGCAAACCCAGATGATTAGTGAGCAGAAAAAAAAGACTACTAAAATAGAGGATACTGGTAAAAAGGCTCGAAAAAATTTCACAAAAATAGTAAAAATGGAGGAACCTTCGCCAGCTACGAACTCGAATAAACCAGGTTCTAATGGCACGGTTGATGGAAAGTCTACGAGATCAAAGATGAAACACGAAACGAATGATGCCAAGATTGAGAGTGGATCCGATTCAAAGGTTGGGGCCAAAGCGCCGAGACGCGTGAACGAGAAAAAGGTTAAAACCGGCCGTAGAGCGAGCACGGGCGGTGATAAGGGGATGGAACAGGGAGGAACCTCAAAGAAACGGTTCTCCCTGGTAGCCAGTTGTATACGTCGGTTCGAGGGCGAAGAGAAAACGGAAAGGGAGTACGTCGAGAGTCGAAGCGGCTACGAGAGGACCGGGGGATCTCCCAAAACGGAGAGGGAGGTCAGTAAACCGTCAGTTGTGTCAGACTCTCTCACCACTTTGTCGGTCCGTTTTGTCCGTGGACAGGCCAATGTCTACAAACAGCTCGAAAAATGAATAAAGCGTACCGAAACACGGGGATTATCCGAGACGTTCCTTAAAACTTTTAACCCAGTTTTCATTGTAGCTTGTTAGACAATTTATCGTGTAGCACGTCTCGTCTGCGAGGTAAGTACCGTTTCTTTTTCTCTCCTCGGCGTGACTAATCTTGGTATTGTGATGGTATTCAAAATTCGCGGGGTAAGAAGAAACATGGGTATCGCGATGCATTGGAAAGTGTACGTTGAGGTTCGTATGCATTCAAGTATTCACGAAGAGGGTATACAGGAACTTTCATTTAATATCACTGGACACAAATTTTCCAAAGGAGGTTGGAATGTATGTGGCTGCAGTGGAACTTTGGAGAATTTAGGTCGCATTCGTCACGATGCATCCGTCGCTTATTAACGCATTAACACTCCTTAATACTTCCATTACAATCGAATTCGTAATTTTTCTTCGCTCATACGTAACAATCAAGGGATATTACTCTGAAAAATCACTCTCGAAAATCACTCTCGAAATTTCAAGAGCTCGTTTCTAGACGTTGGTGTAGTCTTTCTATCGTTCTTTTTGCATGCCACTATGTTCTTGCATCGTCCATTGTGTTATCAGTCTCTGTTCAAAACCACAAATAATGATCACTTTCATAAACTCGACGATACTCTTAATACTATCACTATTTTTATGCTCCAAAGAATCATCAGTCTGATTGATAATATCGTAACAGAGTACAGCTACTCTTTCTGAGAATACCAATGTATTCGGTATTATTGTAGCTTCCAGTACAATTACGGTCACAGACCTTTCTAAGATCGATCGTCAAAAAGCACAGGCTGTCAAGAAAACTGTCTTCAATTCACAGAGAATAGCACGCCGCCTCTTGGCCGAGGGCAAAGCGTCGAACTATGACGAGGCGGAAGTCGCTGCCAGTTTATTGGCTCTGAAATTTGGGGATGTGGAGGCTCTGCATGCGGCCAAAGAGTGTTCCAGCGTGGAATCAGCGCTGGCTTTCTTGCAGCAGGAGTGCGAGCTTTGCACTGGTCGCTTCGCGATGAGTCAGGTGAGCACAATTATACGAATAATTAATATCCAGTCTAACAATAAGTAGAAGCTTGTATAAAAGTAATAAATGTTTCACAACAGTATAGAGTATAGAGTATAGAGTATATAGACACATAGATGTTTTACAAAAGATATTAACAAAAATGTTACTTGGTAATCTTGTGCGCTACTTAGTGTAGACCAAGGAGCCTCTACAGTAAGATGACCTCTAGGCCATAAAAATCTCAAACATCCCGTTCCACTTTGACTTTGATCGGAAAGCCATGAAACACAAGTTTTCCCTGTCAGATGATATCCATGCTGAAATGCGTGCACCGTTGCTGCAACGAGTGCGCGAAGAACTACTTCACGATCCAGATCAGCGATCGAAGCATCACGGACGCGGTTTGCCCGTACTGCAAAGAGCCGAACTTGAAGGACGCCAGCGAGGACGAGGTGCTGGAGTACTTCAGTAACCTTGACATCCAACTGAAGACCCTTTTGGATCCTCCCATTCACGAGCTCTTCCAAAGGAAGCTGCGGGACAGAACGCTGATGCAGGATCCTAACTTCAAGTGGTGCATTCAGGTGAAGTACCCTCGATGCGAATAACATTGCGCAACTGGGGCGTAACCGTCGCTGATTGGTTTCAGTGTTCGAGCGGTTTCTACGCGGATCCGCATCACAAACGACTGATTTGTCCCGATTGCCGGTCGGTCACGTGCGCCTTCTGTCGAAGACCGGTAGGTACAGAGAGAGGCGTTGACGTTACACACGCCTCGGAAATTAAACTGATATTATGCAACGGCTCCCGTAAACATCCTCTCAACTGGACGGTTTCACTTTCAGTGGGAGAAACAGCACGAAGGAATTACGTGCGAGCAATTTGCCGCTTGGAAAGACGAAAACGACCCGGATAATCAGGCCGCGGGCTTAGCCAAGCACCTGGCGGATAATGGCATAGACTGTCCTAAGTGCAAATTTCGGTACTCCTTGTCCCGGGGAGGTGAGATCTCAAAGAACCCCTTCTCTCTAGCCCTGAAACGTTATGCATTTAAATTGGACCGTTGCGTAGACATATAATGTAACACGAAGATCACTTAATGAGAACGAAATATTTTTTTTTTCATTGCCACATTGAGTTTCATTTATCTTAAGATTTTCTTGGCGTGTCTTGGCTGTCTTTGGCAGCCTTTCTTTCTCCGAGGTTGCCATTATTCTTGCGATATATGAATGTAGATATGGATTCCACTGAAACCACTAAACGACAAATTCCATGCAGGTTGTATGCATTTCACGTGCAGCCTGTGCAAGTACGAGTTCTGCTGCGGCTGCGGCAAAGCGTTCATGATGGGAGCGAAATGCTCGGTCAGCCCGTACTGCGCGAAACTGGGCCTGCACGCTCATCATCCGCGGAACTGTCTGTTCTATCTACGCGATAAGGAGCCCGCGCAGTTGCAGCAGTTGTTGCGCGATAATGGGATCGACTACGACACTGAGGGTCCGGCCGGGGATCGCAAGTGCAAAGTGCAGTTGCAGAAAGAAACTCCCGCCGGTGTTGTGGACGCGGTGTGCAATTCAGATGTCGTTGAGGGACACGCCGGTTTGTGCAGGTAACTCCTCCCTCCCTCCCTCCCTCCCGCCGTCCGAGTGGAACTTTGCATGAGTTGCCTTTATCAGACCCATTTCGTCGAGAAGACAGTCATGTTGCGATTCAAGTGATTACAGAAACTGCTATTTCTGTAATTGCTATGGTATTGAAACGGTGTTCACTAGCTGGTACGAACGTACGTAGTAGACTGCAGATTGTATACATTTCTAACGTATACAGGATTGTCTAAATAGTTTAATGGGATGTTTTATATCGTTTGACACTCGATAGAAGCCTTCATAGAGATAAAACTAATGTTATATTAATTTCAGTTACTGTAATTCAATACAAACGATAAGACCATTTGCATCCGTAGTATGATATGTACTCGTTAGATATTTTTGCCTATTAGTACATTCATCTGTGTTCAGACCCTCTTTATATTACTATTGTTCTTTATACAGCATAATTTCAATAGAAAAGTGACGAAGTTATATTCAACGGAAACGATATCGTGTGCTTGTTAAGTAGATTCGTCTGAACAGAGCAGACATTGATGTAAAGAAGACCCGAGATCTCATAGTACCCTATACGTATACATCTGACAATTCTTTTGGTTCAACGCCTAAAACAAAAGGGTATTTCAGCTAGTACTAGTTACTCAACGATCACACAATATCTCTTCCAACCGAGAATTTGTCCAAGACTTCCAACTCTTTCTTACCCAAAAAAAAAAAACACTCTCGCGACTCATATACCCCCCCCCCCAACCCCAGTCGTTTCTTAACGAACGGTTCCAACGTTCAAGGATACATTACATCGAGTACCTAGTCAGAAAGATTCGTGGGACCCAGTTGGAGCCGCTCCCGTTGCTAAACGTGGACGATCTCGAAACGTGCGTGAAACGGGCCGGTTCGAAGTTACCCCCGAACTGGTACGGCCGCGACCCGGAACATTACAGGAGGGACCTGGCCGAGGTAAACGCAGAAGCATCGTGCATGGCACGACTAAAGTTCTGGGTACTTTTCCCCGCAGGCAGCACTACATTGAGTACTTGGCGGGCCTGGTACTGAAGGGCAAGCTGGACCCCGTGGCTATCTATGACTTGAACGATGCCAAGCAAGAGCTGCGCCGCCGGGGAAAAGTTCCCCCTGCGAAGGACCAGGAAATGTCCGAACGGGATTATCTCGAGGCGTGCATTCAGGTGACTAACAGTCCTCCTCACCTCGCCACTCCGTCTTCTCCTGCCAACCCGACACACTGACCGAATTAACAAACACGAAACGCATGAAAGTGGACCTCCACACGCATGATTCCGCGGTCGAAATACTCGCGTTCCAGCGAGTGAGAACAAGGAAAAGAAAATATCGGAGAGTGTCCTTTACATCACGAATTTTTGTCCAGTAGTCGGTTTTTTTTTCTTTCTGCCCCAATGAACGAGCGTGGCATGTATTATACAATATTTATAATCGATTGGATATGTAATACTTAACTTTGTTGTTTCTCTAGGTTGTGCGAAAAGAGATTCCATTGGAATGATGGATGAACCATGGATACACGGGACTTTGTACATGAGACTCATTAACGCTCTTGATGCATGGTGTTGTATAGTGTATTTATTTTATTATGCGGACAGCGATGTAGAGACCTATTTCCAATTAAAGTGAAAACAGATTTAATGTTGTGTAGTATTTAATGTAAAAAGCAGTTTGATCCGGATTATGGGTGTTGAATGGTAGGGGAATATAATAATAATAAAAGGATAACAATGTTTTGTAGAAACATGTGAGATATAATTTATGTTATAAGTAAACGTTTATGGTAGTCAGATTTTTATAAAATATTTTAATAAACCGATTGTCAGCAGAGTTCTGTTAAGAAATTGTGCAGACTTCTTCTTTTGGGAGGTGTTGCTCCTTGAGTCACAACAGCTTTTAATCTGTTTATATTTAATTTTTTTATTTTCCGAATTGGTGTAATAAAGTTTGTAGTGCCTCCTATTTTCTTTGTAGTTGTTTCTTTTGGTTTTTCCACAGTCTTTTCTGCATTTACGTTTAAAATTCCAGAAATGTTTAAACCGGCAGTCTTATCCTTTGTCCTTCTCTTCTTACGTTTCTGCGATACCTGAATACTTTCTGTCCTAGATTTTTGTGTTTTTTCTCTTTGTGGCTTAGTAAAAGGTATCTTAGTATTGCTTGAACAAACCGAACATCTGAGCAGTAATCTATTCATCTTATTTTTTAAACATTTCTGTACTAAACTTCTACGAACTTTAGGTATACTCTTGTCGTTGTTGTTCATGGAAGATACAATCTTTCTAATGGACTTAGAAAGTGGTTTGCCTCTTAATATCCTAATGCTATGATCCACTGTATTCCAAAGTGATCCACAATAAGGGCACATCACCGAAGAACCAAAATTCTGCGTTGGCAATTCTATTCCTTGGCTCAGTCGTCGACATTTTTGTCTAAGACGTAATAATATTACATATATAATACAGGTTCCATAATACATTCATTAACACATACACAGATTTCAAATAAACCATTTAAAAAAAGCTTACATGTAATATGTTTGTAAGTTTATGCTTTGAGGGCAATTCAATTTTGTAATAAACTGATTCACATTCCACAAGTGCGTTATCTTTTCCATGTTAGATATTTACATGTGTGCCATGGAAAAATATTTGGGGAAATATATTCATGTTGTTAGAAGATATTTGTGAAAATTCAGATGTAATATAAATGTGAATGCTATAGAAAAATAGGAGCATATAATTAGTCATCGATCCAATAACGGGGAACAAATCTGTGACTCACCGCATACAATCAAACTTCAAAACCTTCGCATAAGTATTAGGAAACGTACTCCGAGTCAAAAACGACGAAATCGCAGTAAACTGTGTCAGTACAGCATGCGATAAAGCGGTACTACGTCTCATAAACAGATTACAGTGATTCTCATAAAAATATTCGATTGTAACAGTATCGTTTCTAATTAGAAACGATCATTGTTGTGTCGTGCGGAAAGGAGAAATGAAAAAAAATAACCTCAAAATACACACACACTAGACTGCGTGACAATAGCTGAAACTGCTAGCCAATTATATGGCTACCAGTTTCAGCGGTTCGCCACGGATGGCGCCACCGGTCAAAAAAGTTGTGGTACTCCGCGATTAAATGCGATTTTAACAGTGCCTACTGCAAATTATTACACACATCTATCGCATACTCATGAAACATTAAACGGAAAAGTATATATTTTTTCACTTAACTACAAGACAATTTATTCTAAATGCATCGTTAATGGATTTCATTCGTTTTTATATCTTGCCTTACACTTGTATATT